TTTATCATTAGTTATCTGGTTAACTGTTTGCTTAACAAGTTTGCTTTCAAATGTTAATCTCGCAGACCAGGCCTATACTGTTTCAGTTTTGATGACTGTCAAGTGAGATCCTACAGAGGATTAAGATAGTCCAGTACGTAACATTGTCAAAGAGGGCTTTCTGTTCATTTTTCTTGGATTGTTACTTAAATTTTGTCTAGATCTTGTGGCAAGTATTGACACTGTCTTAAATGGTTTGGAGAGTTGGAATTTAGCTGTGAAAGTGATCCAAGATATCTGAGCCAAAATAATCAAGTATAAGGAGCTGCAAGAAAACCCTGATTTTTTTGTACTGTTGTAAAAATAAAACACCCAAATCCTCTGGGGAGAAATTCACATTTCTTGTGCAGTACATGCTGGAGCTTCTAAATCACTTCCTCCCTTAATGCAATGCCTAGTACTGTTAGATGTCGATTTTATAGAGGCATGATTGCTATTGAGCATAAATTGAGTTTCAAGGATGGAGAATGGGACATTTAATGTTAGTGTGTTATTCATAACATTGAAGCATGTGTGCCTGTTTTTAGATTTGTGTTTGCTCTGCTTACCAGGAGTGACAGAACATTGAGTGGTCCTAAAGTATATGGGATTGTGCATAATGGGGAGAAATAAAAAAAAGTTCATCAGAAAAATCTGGATTATTGTGTAATAATTACAATCTGGAAACTAGTTGTTTTACCCTGTAAATTCACATCTTTGTCCTTAATAAACAACAATTCTAATCATGGTTAACTGTTTCATTCTCATTTCTCTTTTACTTCCATCTCACTTAATCACATTTCTCATGTATTCTTAAATGTTGATTTTGGTTGTTGCTTTAATCGCTATTTCTGGCGAAGTCTCTCTGTTTTTGTTTTAATAAATGTATTTCATGCCTTATCTCCTAAATCTCTTTTATTTCATCTTGTGTCTATAATCCTTTGTTCCTAATGGCTCAATCAATGGAAACAGACTGTTTGTTTCTATCGTCTCTGTCACGATGCTTTTTCACTTTAAATACTTCTATTGAATCACTACAATATTTTTAATGTAGCAAAATGTGCACCGATGTTTCAGGTCTTTTTGGCGCTTGTTTTCCTTATAGTGAGTGAAACTTTTACTGAATCTGAATAATGCTGTTGCAGTTTTAAGAATTCTTCCTGAAATGTGGGACCTTAAACTAAACGTAGTGCTTCACCTGTGATTTTAGTAATATTTTGCATGGATTCATGTCTTCATCTCTGTTTTTTAAAAATTCTATAGCTCTAGCCGTAAATCCTGGTTAAGGCCTTAGCCTTTTGAGCTGCTTTTAATAAATTGTGAACTGGGCTACCTAATTTCCCCTGCTCTTCCATATCTTTCATCTTTGAGTAAAAATGCATTTAACTGCATTGAATTCCTTCTGCCAAATGTTTACCAGTATTCTCTTGCAACATTTCTTTGGTTTTCAGAGTGATTTACAATGCCTTCTATTTTAGTACAACTCCCTCCAGACCTATATGAAAATCATTAATGCCCTTGGTGAGCAGAAATAGAACATTTTGGAACATTGCTAACTGCTGTCCACTGTGCTCTGTTTTATTCTTTCTTGTTTGTCTTTTCTCTGCTTGTAATTTTTCCTGTACTGTCTTAATTCCTGCTGTATGTCATTTATGTATTTCACTTTGTCTGTTTCAACCTTTCTTTTTAATCTTTGAGTGCTTTTATTTTCCTTGCTTTCTCCTTCCTTAACTTAAATGATTCCTTGTTACTAGAACTTTTGTCTGATCATTAAATATTAATTTGTCATAATAGTTTATGGTATTCATGGTTACATTTAATAGTGTATTTTGCATGCAAAAAAAAAAGTTTACGTCCATATATGTAGAAAAAAGTGATCACAAAATGTACTATATTTTCGTGGGAAAGTTGGAGAAAATGTAAAGTTGATTAGTAGACTTAATAAAAAATAAACTGGTTCATCATGAAGGAAGATGTTCAGTTACCTCTTAAAATAATTAAAATAGAGAATTCACAGAGCAGAACAAACTTAGAATTATTTAAGGTACTGTGAATGTCTAACCAAGAGGCAGATAATTAATAATAACATTTCTAAAGTGCAAAGAAATATTCTGTACTACTATGTATCCCCAATTAATGGACAGTGTATCCTTTCGAAAGTTGAACATTGCAGCCCATTTATGAATTACAATGTTTAACTGCCAGCATCTTTCACTGGTCCACTTGATAAAAATAGTACCATATTGGTGGGTTTTTTTGCCTTGTTTTGGACCAAATGGATGTTTTTTAGCTGCATTTGCAAACAGAATCACAAAAGACTCTTTTTCACATGGCAACAGGAAAGTTCCCATATGAAAAAGATTGTAATGGAGCGTAATAGTTTTTATACAGCCGAAGACTAAACATTCATTTATAATTATGACATAAAATGGAATTGCTAAAATTGTGTGTGGTGTTATTTGTTTGTGAGATGGGGCAGAGGTGGGTAGAGAGGAGGTGGTGGGCACTGGGTTTGGAGTTTAGGTGGTTGGTTGTGTCTGGTTGTAGGATCACGTGAGCAGGTGTGTTTGTGCCCATACTTTACACCTGTACCTCCATTGGGCTAGTCCACTCAAGTAGGGTAAGAGAGTATAACTTCTATTTTATTGCGTTAAAGTATGTTCAGTTCTGTATCTAGGGATATTTCATTTTTATTGATAGAGTGGACAATAGCTTAGTGATTAGTGATTTTAATAAGTTTTATCAATCACTGAAAATGATCTTTTCTTTTAGAAAAACTGCATCCAGCTTCATTGTAGTGCATTTGTCCATTTCTCAGTAAATTAAATTTTTATTGTATAACCTTTAAAAATAGACTTCTCAGTGCCTCTTGCAGTAGAGAAAAGAATAATTTGAAATATTTCAAACTCAAATGATCCAAATTCAGCATGAACATTTTCATGTGAATGTGTGCCAGTTTTTATGCAATTTATTGTGCAATTATCTAGCACAATTTATTTTTGAAAATGGGATGTGATAATAACTGACTAGACCCAACACTTATTCCTCATCTCTATCTGCCCTTGAAATATGGTGGTGAGATGCCTTTTTGAAATGCGGCTAGTCCCAGCTAGTGTAGTACACCTAGACTGCTGTTTGGAAGGAAGTATTTTAAGAAGGAAGCAATGATTTTTAATACCATCATTACAGACTGCAAAAACATGAGTCATACTCAATGTAATGTGGTCTTAAAATTCTTCAATCCTTTGCAATACTTTGACTCAATTAAGATTAATTTTTTTTAAAACCAGCACAAGCTGGTGAACATTCTAAACTATTACTATGATGCAAGCTGACTCATTTTAACATTAAAACAGTCAACCAAAATAATTTTAAAAATAAAACTCCTTTGTAGGTAGGAAGCACATTAGTTTACCTTTTAAGATCTCTTAAAGTGCCAAATAATTTTATCTGCAATTGCAGTTACACTCAGTGTTGAAGAACTTGCCTGCTTGTTATACTTTAAATAAAGCTGGTTATTGTTCTGAAGCTTCCAAGATTGATTGATTGCTTTTTTAAATCACAAGTATATTTCTTTGTGGAGATAACAAAGTAAGTTTTTAATCCCTGATTTTTTGTAAGTTATCTTGATTTTAATTGGTAGGCTGCATCTTTTTCTGACATGTATGATAACTTAGAATGAATCACTTTGTGATTCTCTAAAGATATTATCGAAATTGTTAAGGTGCAGAAAGAGACCAATCAGCCCATCATGTCTGCGCCCGTTCTTTACCGAGTGCCAATGTCCCACCTTTTCTCCATATGTTTGCATAGTATTTCTTTGGAACACTCATCCAATGCCATCTTGAATGCCTCAATTGAACCTGCATTCACCACATTTCCATACAGTGCATTCTATACCCTAACTCTTCACTGTGTGAAAGAGCCTTTGCTTGCTTTGTTTACACATCATCTTAAATATGCCGTCTTGTTCTTTTTTCCTTTATAAGCAGGAACAGCTTCTCCCTAAATTAACAGTAATAACTTTGATACTGAATGGTAAATTTGTGAATTTTGTTGAAAAACAATTGCAATTCTTGAGTATTCTTACATTTTAGAAGGTAATATATTGGTGTAGAAAGGGGAGAAATCATTGTTGGATTCAGTGTAGAGTTTGTTAATATGTAAATATGTTTAATTGTATAAGATCTCATCAGGTGAAGTGAGATGTGATTGAGTCTTGAGACATTTTGGTTGCCTAATCAACTACATGAAAAATATTGAATGTTAAAAGGCATTTTTAAGTAACATCATTTCCACTGTATTATGTATCACGATGATGTTTAAAGTCTGATGAAAATGTGAAACTAAAAACTAATTTTCATCATGTTATGAATAGTATAATATTATTATTACATACACTGTGTCCTTTTTGTAATTAAGTTACAGTAACTACTCAGGAATTTTGTATGTATATTAACATTGTGCATGCATGCATGCCATTGTGGACCTCCTTGTAATGAATGAATCAGAAAATTTCATTCTTTTCTCCTCAAATTTAAGGGGATAAAATGTTTATTACTAATTAATGATCCATTAAATAATCTGGAAATTTACTGGTGAAAATTAAGACAGCTTAATGGAAAGGTTGTATGTATATGTTACCTCATTTATTCATCTGTTGATCAGCAATGTCTGCATTATGCGATATAATATTAAACATTGTTTTAACAGTTATGGTCGTAATGCTATGAGAATACTATAGTTAATCTCATTAGAGTACTTCCTTTAAAAGTCTTTGTTAGCTTACTGACAGATCCTGTGTTAATTATTGTTACTGTAATATACTGTATGTTTCAGAATTAGTAAAAGCTGAAACTGATAAAACGGGCATGGTTTATCACTCAAGTCAACTTTTATAGGTCTAATTATTATTCCTTGCACTAGAGCTATTACTAGTATTACTTTTAACGTGTAGTTGTATTGTTTCCATCCTTCCTCAGGGTGTCCTATTGGTATATGACATCACAAACTACCAGAGTTTTGAAAACCTTGAAGACTGGTATGCCGTAGTGAAGAAAGTAAATGAGGAATCTGAGCAACAGCCTGTAGTTGCATTAATTGGAAATAAAAGTAAGTGATTTGTTAACTTGAAGAACTTTTTTTATGTCGTAAATAATATTCAAAATCATTTTAAGACTATTCCACTATGTACTGAGTGGTATTTGATGCCTTTAAATACATAAAGTTCGTAGTCAAGAAAAGGTTAAAAGGCTCATGCATGCCTGTCTACTATCAATTAGTGCCTCCCACTACTGATTTCCTTAGAACTCATTTCTAGCATGTTTCAAAGAAAAAAATTAGGTACCCCACTTTCTGGATCAGTATCATTCCATCTCCCTTTTAACTGCCAACTGATCCTGAATTATTGCTTTCTTTCTGTGCCTATACCTGGTATCTACAGCACAGCGGTGAAATAAAAAACTTTTTTCCTTAATTTTACCCTAGGTTAGATTTTGTATTTATGGCTTATAATCCTGTGTGTTTTCAAGTTAGATAGTTTGCTTTTATATCCTGAATTAGCATTTGATTCATGTCTTCCCTTAGTTCATATGGTTCAGTTGCTAACCATCATAACTTGATCCTTGAAAATTAAAAATCTCCTGATCAGTTTGCTATCACGTTTTCTAATACATCTTTTGTAGTACAGAAAGCAGATTCCAGAACCCGATTTATCCACCGATGCAGCCTGAAATCTGATAATTACTTGTTAATTTTTTGAGAATGATCAAATAATTTTATATATACTCAATAGATACTTCAAAAACCTTTTCTTGTAACTGAATTTGCAAAATAGGATTATTTCTTGTTACACAAATACTTATTATTGTCTGCTCTAAATCCATTAATTTATGTTAATATCCACAATAAAATCTACAGTGGTATGTGTTTGACCTTTACATTTTGGTTTAATTTTTGTTTTTCTCAATGTGAAGCAGTTTGCTACTGAGGGCAATGGCACATTTTAGTCTTTTTAAAGCTCCCTATCTGCATTGTACTTGGATATTCGACAGACTACTTCAGTATTAGTATTTTTCCTATTCAATTTTCTCTCCATCTGTTAAGATTCAGGTCCCTAGATGCCTTGCCTAGTTGCCATGTCTTTCTTATGAATTGAAAGAGACCAGCTTATCAGTGCTGCCATGTAATGGGATTCTTTTCCTTGGACAATCCCTTGGGATTGAGGATGACTTACTTTCAGTCTGGTTTGATTGAACTTAGCAGGCATTTCAGAACCAGAGAACAGCCTACAGCCCTGGCCAGATGTGGGGCAGATGACGTTTGAGAGGTCAGGTAAACTAGTTGTTTGTATGTTTGAGATAACAAGGTGTAGACCTGGATGAACACAGCAGGCCAAGCAGCATCAGAGGAGCAGGAAGGCTGACGTTTCGGGCCTAGACCCTTCTTCAGAAAGGAGGTTTATGCATTCTCTATGATGCATTGGTTTCACTTTTGCCTACTTCGAAGTCCCTGTTAGTGCCTTCCTGATTAAATTCTGTCCATTTTGGTTGATTACAAGTTGGAACTCTCTGAGTCAGTGGGGCTCATCTCGTTTCCAAGTGATGAGGTCAGTGCTTCAGCCCAAGCAGTAGGTTTCTGTAAGTTGGCTTCCCTCAGGTGCAGGACAGACAGACTTTGCACATGCTGTGTTGAGACGCCCATATCATAATGCAACTGAATTTATGAATAGAAAAGGCTTCCATTCCATCAATGCATAAGTGATCTGTGATCATCAATACCAGTTCTTAGAAATTTGTTTACAGTAACTTGTCAGCTGCCATGATATTTTCATCCTTGAAAGCACTCATGTTCCTGTTGTATTTGGGGGACCAGATACTTAATAAGGATGGTTACTAAGGGTCAAGGGCTATGCTGTACAGCCATGGCTGATGACTCTGTTACATAATCCCCTGACTGAGGTGGAGTGTAGATACAGCGCTTCCCATTCTTTTACTAGAGCCACGGTGGAGCATGTGACAGGCCTTATGAAGCTGAGATTTCATTACTTGGATCAATCTTGGGTTCATAGTATAGTCCAGAAAGAATGTACTGCATAATCCCAATATGCTTGGCTCTGCACAGTTGGAACAGGCAAAGGGAGAATACTATGGACATTAACAAGCTGGGAGCTTGATAGCAGTAATCCAAAGAGGGTCATGAGGATACTGAATGGGGGGGAACATCACTTTCTGCATGGTAGAACACAGAAGCTTTGGACACTGTAAGTCAGAGAGGACTTAATTGATACCCAATATCGGTAGAAGAGAATTGGGTACAATGATCACTCATTGACTGTAAAATATTGGTGTTCGACATGCAAGTAGTCTGTTTCTGTTCTGAGAGGCAGATGCAGCTTCTGCTAGTTTGATTTCAGTTCACTTTTAATGTTGCTGAATAAAGGTGAATGTTCTAATCTGTTTGAAGTCTTCCTTGCATGTGATGGTCTCATATTGAACAGTGATGTGATGCCTGGTTACAGTGAGTTTCTGGGAAAGAGTAACAGTGACTTAGAGGGTTCTAAGAAGAAATGTGGCTAAGAACACATAAGGTGTGTGACTTGGTGCTTGAATAGTGATTGGAATAGAAATGTGCAGTTCATTGTGCAAGATTGTGTCAGCAGTGCTGCCTGTGTGTCAAGAGAGGTGTTGTTTTGTGGCTGCTGTGCCACCATGTTGACTGTGAAAGACATCTCTAGACTGCCAATGCTTGAGTGAATGCATGGCCAGGAATTCCAGTATATCCCAGCAGTGGTGAATACTTTTTCTTACAGTGAGTGGGAGAGTCGAGCTAGCATCAGATGAGAGGGTTGCAAAGGAGCATGGTACGTTTTGAATCTTGGTTAAATCTTACCAGAAATTGACCATAAAAGTACAAAGTCTTGTTTAAGACTGATCAATACCTAAAATAACCTAGTTAGCATAGTGGAGGAAATGTGTTCTAGAATTATTTAGCAGAAATTATTGATTATTTTGTTCTTCAAAGTGCCAGACACAATACAGTTAAATTGTCTATTGATCACGGCACCATTGTGATTTTAACAATTATTATATTTTCATTTCAAGCACTGTTAACTATAGTATCTAAATAGTAACAGGCCTGTAAACCCAAAATCTATGTAGTAAAGCTGCTATTCAATGAGAATTTGGTCATATTGTGCAAAGTTGCTTTAATCCAACATTTATTTAACTGTATGGAATTGTTTGAAGCTAAATTTGCAAGAAAATGATATCGAGACTCCAGAAACTCTCTCTTTAAGAAAGCAAAATTCCAGATTTAAATTTGAACAGGAGCATCATTTGCCAAGAAATTGTTGAAGATTTTAATTTTAAATCTGCATTACAATTCATTTTTAACAAATAAAGGCTTAAGCATTTATGTCAACAATTTGTGAAGTGTCAGTTAGCAAGTCTGCATGACCATTTGTTCAGGGATATTTGTTGATATTATCTTGATGTTTAATTATTGTGTACTGTTTTAGAAAATAGTAAAGTGGCATTTTGCTGCAATTAAAGCTCCATAATCTGCAGTTTTGTTTTGGAAATGACTGATGCTGTACATTATTTCTTCAATCAGTTTTAACTCTTGTCGATATTAATTCAAATTTTGTGATACTATGATTACATGGCAAGGTACTAATCCTGAGATTATTGAAGAAGTTTATATCCTTTTATGGGAGAAGCATAACATTCATTATCATTCATTTATATGTACCTGTGCAGCAAATTATTTGAAGGAATTCTGTTTCACTATATGACCAGCCATCTTTTAAAGTCATTCAACCTCCGTTAATGTCATCCAGTCCTATAGAGGAACCCCCAAGGCAAAACGCTTAGCCGAGTTGGAGTTTGTGTCAGATTTCTTTGCGTTTCCCACCATCTGATTCGAAATCAGACTCCTTAAGTGTCAAACGAACTTTCTCAGTAGATTTATTGTAAACAGAAATTAACCCAGGTTGCATGGGAGCTGTGTACATCGTGATTTATGACTCTGAAGTGGGTTTGGGGCTCTAGTTATCTGTAACTTCTATGTAGGGGTATGAATTATCAGGCACTAACGTGCTTCAGATGGATGAATGATTTCTGCTGCTGAGACGTGGAGATGTTAACCAGATCTACTCACAAATAAAGACTAATAACACTTATTTTTAAACAGTGTTCATGACAGATGGACGTGAGGAGGAGAGTGGATAGAGTCTAATTAAGAATGTTGACTGTATGTTCTCTTTAGTTGTGATTGATTAGTACAGGAGTGCTGTCTCTACACCAGGAAATGATGCTGTGATACATTGCTAGGTGAAAGGTTAAATCTCAAAGTACATTCTAATTTGTATGCACTGCTGTTGGTAGTGATGCATTAACCTCAAAATTTACAGTGACACCATTTGCTAGAGCTATTTCTGCAATCTATTTATAAACTTAGTATAGTGGAATACAGTTAATTTCCCCAAGGACAGCAATAGGAGGTAATATTTGTGTATTTTTCTTTTGAATACATGTATCTTAAAATAAAAAGCATGGTTTGATCCAGTAGGTTAATAAATAGCCCTATGGCACTTCATAAATCTTGAAACATTTATTGATCTTTATTCCACTGAAGAAATTAATTTGGATGCCTTTTGCAAACAGTAGCCATGCTTTTCAATACCTTGAATTTTGGACCTTTTGCAGGTTGTTTCTCCTACGTTGGAGTACTTTTACTTTGTCATACAAATTTACTGAGATAAATACTCTAGTGCCAACATTCAATAAGAAGTGTGCATTTTTGTGTGTGTGGAGGAGAATTACTTTTCCATTTTCTCCTTTCAGGTGTTTGTATTTCACGTTCCTTGCCTGTTTTTAGGTTGATTGATCTTTAAAAACAATTCATTTAATCTGCCCATTTGGTCAGTGTTAAAATTGACATCCGTGATTTCTCAAGAAGTATTTCTTCACTACATTATATGTTAAAGGTATATTTTATTCTTTTGTTTGCAGTCAATTGTTTCTGCCATCTCTGAAAAGATGTTGAATCTAGGGGAATTGAATTTAAATTAGTGCCTTAACGAGGGAAAGACAACTAGCGTTTCTGCTTCT